CACACACACACACACACACACACACACACACACACGGGCTCTTTTTTTTCTTTTTTTTTTTTGGGTGCAACCCTGTGCCATGCTAGAGTAGTCTGTTTCAGCGGTGAATATTAAGAAAAATGTGAAGCTCGTCAAACACCTCTCCCCTGCTCTTTGCATGTGATACTCTATCCTGCCCTTCACATATTTATTTCCTTCCTTCCCTTTGCCCCCACCTCCCCTGCCCCATACTCCTATAGAACTCCGCCTTCTCTCCCTTTCCCTCCACCCTCCCCTCCACTCTCTTTGTGCTACTACCAATACATACGAATGGGCATCATTAAGAGAACAGACGACATGAAGATCAGAAATGAAATGAACGGAAGTATGAAGCTGAAGGACGGACTTAAAGACTGTATAAGCTGAAGATCTGAAGTGAAATGAACAGGAGTATGAAGCTCTAAAGAGAAATGCACAGGAGCATACCTTCCCTTTTACTCTGCCTCCTGAAATAACGCGCAAGTGGGCCGTGAAGGCACACGGGGATGTGGGCAGCTGCCACTCAACCACAATCAACGTGGGCAGCCTTGTATGTAAGAGGCACAGTAAAAGGGGAGCTGCAAGAACAATGGAAGGGGTAACCCAAGGACAACCAAAAAACTGTCTAATTATAACATTGCCTAGTATATTGGACTGTGACTGTCTCATCTCAAATGCTCTCGTTGTCTGCAATAGGACAAAGACTGCTTTTATTCTGAATCTATTCATCTGGGTGGGATTGGGGCTGTTGTGAGGAAAATCTATAACACACATACACATCTGTACCACCTCGTCTTTCCATGGTTTTGCTGATTGTTAATGCCTGCTTTTGCCTGTCTGTTCAGATTCTAGATCAAGATGGCATTGCCTCTGTTGGTGAGATGATCAGGCCTGGTGATGTCTATGTGAATAAGCAGAGCCCTGTAAATACAAGAGATCCAGTGGCCAATCCCATGGCCCTTCCAGACAGGTGAGTGGATACACATGTCCTTGTCACAGTAGCCATTATCCACAGCCATCCATTGTCAAAGCAGAGCTTTGCAGGGTAGTTCTTGGACACTCATCCTTCATCCTTCCTTGGCCCTTATGTCTTCTCCTATTTTCAAATTCTGATGACTTCATTAGAGTTGATGTGCTCATCTCCGTTCCAGAAAATCAGGGCTGTTGTGATAATTGTGAAAATAATAAAATATAGACATGGCAATGGGCCCTTCTTTCACGGCTTCCATTTTTCACTAGCTAAATCACATTACAACTTGGGAACTTTGGATCCTTTACGGCTTTTTCTGGGAGCGATTGACCGTGCCCATGTTTGTGCCATGTGGTGTCATTGTGATTTGCAGTGCCTACAAGCCAACCCATCAGACTTGGAAGGGCCCTTCTGGTGAATGCTGCGTGATTGACAAGGTAATTTGTGTTGCGCTTCTGCTAAAATCAACACCACAAAGAAAGGGTGACTGTGAAAGAATATTTTGTCGGGCTTTCATTGGCTCATCAGGAGGTTGTGTGTGTGTGTGTGTGTGTGTGTGTGTGTGTGTGCGTGTGTGTGTCGTTGTGGTTGTGGGTGTGTGTGGGGGGGGTGGATGGGTGTGGGTGCGTGTGTGTGTGTGTGTGTGTGTTTGATGGGGAACCTCCACTCTCAGAACGCGGACAAGTTGCATCGAAAACTACATCGACCGACACTTGAAAAAGAGCTCGTAGCCCGGTATGCCCATGGAAGGAATCCAAATATGCAAACACCCCATAATGCAGAACAATGGAGGGCAAAAAAGTACCTAGTACAGAACTGAACAACAACAACAACCTAGAACAAGAAAAATGAACCCAAAACGAATGGTGACGGTTGTTACAATGGATGTAGAAGTTAGCAGAGTAAGGATAGGTGCATTGACAGATAGTGGTTCTACAAGAGTTATAATTCCCAGCTGGTAATTAAGAAGTTGTGAGTCTGTTCAAAGATTCTCCCTTTCTGTTTATTGTACGACTGCCCCAGTAGGCTACCAGCCGGGCTGCCTGGATCACCTTGTTTGCCCGGGTGGCCCGGCCATGCAAGGACCAAAAAAGGTCCCAGCAAAAAAAAAAAAAAAAAAAAAAAAAACCTGAAAAACAATTATGTTATGCAAAAACCGGGTCACATCGGAATTGTTTACCAAGCAAAAAAAGTAAAAAAATATATATATATATTTTATGTTTTTTTGTTCTTTTTTGGCCCAGCCAGGCAAGTAGTCCCGGGCCACTCTGGTAGCCTAGGTGCCCCAACATTTCCTTGATATATTGTAACGACGCAAATGGTAGATAAAGTCCATGTGTTGTTTGTTACATCCGTGTGTCAATATATAGCGAAGGAAGGAACCCCGGTCAAAGGTGTTCTTGAGGCACAGCCCCAAATTAAGAAACTGCTGGAGGGGTTTCCAGATCCTGAGGAGGAACCCAAAGGGGTAGTAGAAAGGGAGATCAAGTACCATATCAAGATAGAACCGTGAAGTAGAACCCTGAAGGGTTCGGTGCATAGGATGTCATTGCGAGAATATGAGGAGTTGCGCAAACGGGTTGAAGAGTTAGTAGATAAGGGGTGGATTAGGCCGAGTTTATCACCGTATGGCGCACCAGTTCTGTTTGTGCCAAAGANGTTGCGCAAACGGGTTGAAGAGTTAGTAGATAAGGGGTGGATTAGGCCGAGTTTATCACCGTATGGCGCACCAGTTCTGTTTGTGCCAAAGAAGGAAGGCGAACCGCATCTGTGTTGATGACCTACTCGATTGAATGAGATAACTGTAGAATGCACGGAACTGTTACCCTGTATTCATGACCTGCTGGATATATATAGGGAATTACTTCTCAAAAATAGAAATGAAGCCAGGGTATCCCTAAGTTGAAGTAGTTAAGGAGGATCAACATAAACAACATTCTGGACTACGTACTGATACGATTACGGAGCATGGAAACACCAGACCCGGACACTGGACATTTCCGGACTGTTTTCCGGACCATTGTCTAAACCGGTCCGTACACTACCGGACACCACCGGACACCGGACAGTCCGGACAGGTGCAAGAGGTTTGGGGATGTCCGGACACAAAAAAAAAAAAAAAAAAAAAAGATGTGTGCGGGGTTGGGGGGGGGGGTGTTGGCAGGTACTCCCTGCTTTGCACTTCGAAGTTCATGCAGCAGAGCACTTGTCTTGCTGCAAATCAACAACCACGTTCAACTAGCAAACACGCAGACTTCTGAACAGTGTAAAGCAGGGACAAGACTAAAGAAACAGAGAAAAAAATCAAAAGAAGTTTGAACAAGTTTAAATAACGAACTTGAAGAGTCTTCAAACTGGCAGCACTGTCAGCGCTCTCTCTCTCTCTCTCTCTCTCTCTCTCTCTCTCTCTCTCTCTCTCTCTCTCTCTCTCTCTCTCTGGCGCGCGCGCTCGCGTCAGTAGGATGTCTTGCGCAATTTAGACGGGTTCTGATCCGGAGTCGCCCTCGTCATCCGACGAACAAACATCTTTCTCATCGCCTTCGCCTTTGCCCTCCTTGCCACTGCCATCAGTCCCATCGCTGCCACCGCTCCTGTCGCGACCATTGCCACTGCGATCAAAATCAAATGCGTAACCCCGAGATTGAACGCCAACAAGACGAAACACCATGTGTGTGTGTGTGTGTGTGTGTGTGTGTGTGTGTGTGTGTGTGTGTGTGTGTGTGTGTGTGTGAGAGAGAGAGAGAGAGAGAGAGAGAGAG